ACTCAGTTAAGATCCTGTTTAACAAGAAAACCAGACCATTCAGTCAGTTCCTCCGGCTGATACCACACACTCCAGACATCAGTGTTAAAGAAAGTGTGTGTCTTCCTCTGGTTTGATGCTGTAGTTACTCCAAGACTCCAGCCTGACGTCTCTTTAACCTCCACATCCCAGCAGTGTGTTCCTGAGTTAAAACCCTCTGAACCCAGAACACAGCGACAGGGTGACCTAACTCTGACGACGAGCCAATACAGTGGACACTTGAGGTGTGGGGAGGAAGACAGACTGATGGTTTTCATGTTAGATGCAGTTTTAGTTATATCAATCAATACTACCTAGCTCTGTCAGGTTAAAACCTCATCTTGTTCTGTTTGTTAAATATTTTTTATATATATTTTATACTTCCTGGGGTCGAAACTGTATGGTGCAGCAAATGCAGTTCATGTTGGTAATGGAGATTGAATTGTATTACAGAACAGCAGACACTTGAAGTAGCATTCAGTCATACTTTATTTTTTTCTATTTTCAATAGACCAAATATCACCAGTGGAGGTATACATGTTTTGTTGATTAATGGCACTTTTTTATGAGGCTTTGCTGCACCTTTAAAAGCTTGTGTCCAGACTTTAGTAGGTCATGTGAATGTGACTGGTTCACTTTTATTAATGTTGGAAAAATAAAGAGTTTAATTGTATTTTAGTTGTGTTATTTGTGCTAAAGATATAGACCAGAGGTTCTCAACTCTGGCGCTCGAGGTTCATGTCCCTGCAGAGTTTAGCAAACTTTAACTTTCTAGTAATCCTAAAGACCTTGATGAGCTTGTTCAGGTGTGTTTGATTAGGGTTGGAGCTAAACTCTGCAGGAAAGTGGACCTCGAGAGCCAGAGTTGAGAACCCCTGGTACAGACAAAATGAATACAGTTTATGTGGTTATATTGGTTATATTAATCAAAAAGAAATTAGCAAGGTATAGACAAAATGAATACAGTTTATGTGGTTATATTAATCAAAAAGAAATTTGCAATGTTTACATAATCATAGGAAGTAATATATATTCATAAAACTAAATGGGACATCTCGAACAAAACAATTAAATCTACTTATTTACTCCAGTAAATAGTAGGATTTACTTAATATTTTGAGTTATATTAATCAAAAAGAAATTAGCAATGTTTACATAATCATAGGGAGTAATATATATTCATAAAACTAAGTAAATGGGACATCTCGATCAAAACATATAATAAAATCTACTTATTTACTTCAGTAAATAGAAGGATTTACTTCATATTTTTATAAATGCAAGGTTCCTGTCTATAAAATAATAAATAAACTTTACTTAATTACTTTAAATAAACACTTTTAAATTAAATATAATTACGTAATATTTACTTAATTAGGGTGCAATTAGATTTAATTTCTTCATGAATGTTAAGTTTAGTAAGTAGATTTTACGTAATAATAGCGAGTAAGTTCTACTTGATATTAGAGCAGTAAAATTTGCTTTAAAAAATCCTCGTAACAAATTGCACGAACACATTTTTTTGTTATTTTTTTCAGTGTACATAGCTAATGAACTGTACAACCCAAAGGCACACTTCCTTTGTTTATAACCTGTAACAGTTTTCAAACTCACTCATATTCACTCATTCACTGATGTTGGCTCAGTCACCTAGTGTCACAAGCAAATCTTTATTTTCTCATATTTCTACACAACTTTGTGGTACCGAAGAAAATGAGTGTTAGGGACAGGACCGGGCAGTGATTTATTATTGTTTGCTCTCTTCCCAGGGTGGAAGTCTTTTCACCAGTGCCTTGTGGTCAGTTTTAATGCTCGCCAGTAGGCCGCCCTTGTTTCCCTCTGTCCCAGAGTAATCAATCTTCTCTCCTTTGAGAGTTGTCATTTGACCACCAAGAGACCTCAAGATGGCATCACCCGCACAGATATCCCATTTTTTGATGTACGTCACATGGATGTAAATATCGGCTGTCTCTTGTTCTTCATCAGTGGGGTCTAGAAGAGCTAGTACCTTATATCCTTTGGGGGAAAAGAGCACAAAGGTTGCAGTTGTATTTCCTCTGCTGCAATCTACATGAGAAATTGCAATCGCCAAATATTTACTTCTGTATCTCTGTGAATATGTATATTCAATAGTGGGGTGCCATGTACATTTAATTTAAATGTCTTGAAAAAGTACTTATTACCAACCAAACAATATACATAAAAACATTTTTGTAGCATAAATATTAATATCAGCAAATAAGTATGGAGATTCATTGTTATTAACATTGCAACAACAAAAATAATGTTCCCAAGATACACTAGAGTCAAATGTTTGGGGTTGATTTTTGAATGTTTTTGAAAGAAGTCTCTTATACTCAGCAAGGCTGTGATGATTTATTCATAAATGCAGTAAAACAGTAATCATGTGAAATATTTTTACAATTTTAAATAAATGTTTATATTGCAGTATATTTTAAAAATGTAATGTGTTCATGTGATGGCAAAGCAAAATTTTCAGTAACCATTACTCCAGTCTTCAGTGTCACATGATTCTTCAAAAAATCGAATATTTTGATTTGATGCTAAAGAAACACTTATTTCCAATGGTAAAAACAGTTGTGCTGATCAATATTTTTGTGGAAAGAATGATACAGTTTTTCAGGACTTTTTGATAATATAAAGTTAAAAAGAACAATATATGATTTTTTTTTATTTTTTTTTTATAACATTAAAATGTCTTTACTGTCACTATAGTTCAATTAAAATCTTACTGACCCCAAACATTTGAATGACAATGTACAGTTTTTCTCAACTGCTTTGGCACATTTTTCTAAACGGTCTTAATCTCTAAACTGCATGTGCAATTGTCAAAACTGTTTGCTGAAATATCAGAACGCTATTGCATGTCTGGAAAAGGTAGTAACTCACCCAAAACATTTTAATTCATGCTTCAAAACCTAGTTGTGTCAGTGCCACCAGAATGTTTTTGTCATTGAGCCACACTGGTCAAAATGTTTAGATGTTTTTTCACCATTTATTTGTTATATGCAAAATATGTTATAAGTAAATTTCCTTTTGTTATATACAATTTAATTTCATATTTGTTATATGCATTTTATTCTACTTTTTTTCACAGATTGCTTTCTATACTATACAAAAATTTCAGTTTTGTCTCACACTGAGCATTTTAGATAAATACTTCAACAGTAGGTAAAAATGTAGAGGGAAAAGTCACTGAAACTGAAATTTCACCATTGCTTATTAATTTTTACACACTCTGTTGTCTTCCCCTTACACCAACACCACCACACATTCTTACACATCTTCCTATTGCTCTTCCACAACAAGCAAATGTGAATGAGCGCATTTACATGCACACCAGTAAGCTGATGACTCACAAATATCAGCTTATTAAAATAACCAGTTTTCCCCGTTTACATGCACATCAGTAACCTGACAATGCAAGTAAACTGAGTTTACATGACTTCATTAATAAATCAGGATATTTCCCTGTAGTGACGTCAAAATATAATCATTTGCATATCTGACTCGAGTATTGTCAGTTGTGTTGTTAAATAAAGCTTGCAACATGTCAGCTGGAAACTTACAGCTCATATATTATCCTCATGCAGTTATAAATGCAGCGTTTTGACCGAACTACTGCTGCATGAGATGAGAACACATTTTTATCATTTTCTGAGTCATGAAAGAGTATGCATTTGTGATATTTTTCCTTCTTTCTTTACTGCAAAACGTTTGCTGTCTAAATGTGCTTAAAGGGTTCGTTCACCCAAAAATGAAAATTCTATCATTAATTACTCACCTTCATGTCATTCCAAACCCGTAAGACCTTTGTTCATCTTCAGAACACAAATTAAGATATTTTTGATGGAAACTGAGAGCTCTCTGACCCTCCATAGACAGCAATGATATTGCAACAATCAACTCACAGAAACGTAGCAAGTACATCGGTAAAATAGTCCATGTGACATCAGGGGTTCAACCGTAATTTTACAAAGCTACGAGAATACTTTTTGTGCACAAAGAAAACGATAATAACAATTTATTCAGCAATTTTTCTTTACCGTCTTCCACCATTTTGGAGAGTACCCCAGAACGTAATCAACGTAATCAGCATTGTTTACGTTCAGTAGACAGCGGCGCATGCTAAACGTAAACAACGCACAAAAAGTATTCTCGTAGCTTCGTAAAATTCAGGTTGAACCCCTGATGTCACATGGACTATTTTACCGATGTCCTTGCTATGTTTCTGTGCATTGATCGTGGTAATATCTGTCTATGGAGGGTCCGAGAGCTCTCAGATTCCATCAAAAATATCTTAATTTGTGTTCCGAAGATGAACGAAGGTCTTACGGGTTTGGAACGACATGAGGGTGAGTAATTAATGACCGAATTTTCATTTTTGGTGAACTATCCCTTTAAATCTGCAATAACAATGTGTTCCTGTCATGTATCACATATGCACACTTCAGCTTATTAAGCATAATCGGCGTAAGAACGTGCATGTAAATGCGCTCAATGTTCACAGTTTACATATAACACAAATTTACTGTACAATTTTAAATGTATTTATACAGCACTGCTGCAGCTGTTTAGGGTTGTGACGTTCATCCTCGTTAAAAAAATTATAGTGATTGTGCTGGGCAAACTTTATATATATATATATATATATATATATATATATATTTATTTTTTTTTTGGTCTTGTTTCAGGAAACCAAATGCACATTGATGTAGATAAAAAAGA